ATGGAAGTAGCCACTCCTGTTCTGAAGCCTTGGCTGAATCCAAATGTCCACCCTCAGGACTTGCGGACTGAGGCCTCGCGGACTTCAGTTGTACGTAGTGTGCCGTATTTATCGCAAGCGGCTGATAGACAGCCCTTGAGACTGTTTTACTCATAAGTCATATAAGTTCATGAACAGTGCCTGCTCATCTGTCCCTGCAGATGACAAGATATAAATCCCCTGAATAGCCTTTTTCTGTGACTAACAAAAATGAAGGCTACTAATACATCTCTATATAACATACAGGCTACACGTGTTCAAAAACAGAGATGTTTGTAAATAAGGACAGGACCATAACTCAATAAATTGGGTATTACTGACATCAGAAACCTTCTTTTGTGTTTTTCAGCCATTCTTTTTGCCTATTACACAGCGCAGCCTGGTAGGCCACAATAATAAAATGTATTTTCAGTCCCTCTACAGCTTAGACTGAAACATATCTCTGTATCATGATATGGTTGTTTATTTCTGTCCTACATAATTCAAGCAACAAGTAAGTTTGGGGTTTTTTTGCAGCAGATGAAAAACCCACAACGTCACGTCTGTATTGCAATTGTGGGTTATTAAATCAGTTAGGTCTTCTGAAGTCTGCACCCCAAGCGGACTGTCTGGAAGTCTGCAGAAAGTCAACTTGAGGCCCCTTGTAGACTCGTTGAAAAGTGGATTTGGACAGCCCTAACCGCTCCCAGACTTCCCGGGAACGCACCCGCAAAGTCCACCAAGTGTGGTGAAGCCATTTGGGCTGGGCCCTTGAGTTTGGCATTGCAGCAGTCGCAATCTTGTTTTATTAGAGCCAGAAGTGACCATATAGCTTAAACTGTTTTTTGTTTATTTAACATTTATGGAATTTGACTCATTTTTGCAGTTTTTGGCACTTGCCCTTTGGCTTCAGCCATCTCATTGAGACAATAGCCCCTTTTACACTTCCAGATTTTCCGTGAATGTTGGGCCGTTTTGCTGGCAAGCTGCGAGCGTTTATACACACAGAGCCGGATTGACGAGTTGATCCGAGGTGCCCAATTTTCTGCCTCGTAGGATAGTCATATTGACGGAACCCTTCTAGTTTAAACAGACCGAGGCGGCCCTCCGCAACGGGAGGGGCTGTTGAAGACTTGTGGGAGGAGCTGTTGATGACGCCGCACGTGCGACCCACTGGCGGTGGATAAACAGGATACAGCTGATAGCAGGAATTAGTGAGCAGCTAGTAGCAAGAGGGAAACGCAAACCTGACAGACACTGTAAAGTTGAGCAACTGGGGAGACAAAGAATTGCGCGCCCTCCTTGTCCACACAAACGAAGAGGCCATTAACCGTCAGTTGACGGGGACGGTGAAGAACGGGCCGATTTATGAGAGAATCGCCACCTGACTGTTGCCGCCTGACTAGCCGTGGCTGCCCTCACACGCCACACACTGAGCTACACATTTTGTTTCTTGCTCACACCCCCCATTGCCCCGAAAAAGGCACATTCTGTATAAACAAAAGTAGGTAGGTGGCATTTTGCTGCAAAAAAAATGCTTAAAAAAAAAGGCTGATTGGGCTTTCCTGCAAATTTGCACAATTCCTATCTAAAAAGGGCCAATGTAACTTTTACTCAACAGTGGCCACTGTGACCACAAGAAGCAATTTCAGGATGACTGCAATTTAGATTTCTTTCCCAGGTTTCAATTAAGCTAGTTGCTTCGGACGACCTGACTGAAAGCCAGTGGAATAGAAATACATGCAGAAAACAGTCAGACTCAGTAACGTCAGTCACACAAAAATCTTTCCTAAGTTTGTTAGCGTCAGCTAGAAATCAGTCACCATAGGCTACAGGTCATACCAGGCCACACAGGGCTGTATTAGTAAACTCGAGTGCATTAAACTGAGTTTATGAATTCAACCCTTAACCCAACTTTTCATTTGTAAGTGGAACAAAGTGATACTCCACCTTGTATGAGTACCCAGCCTTGCATTTGACAAAGGAAAACAAATTTTCCAAATTAAACCTTATTCACAGGGATGGGGGACACCACAAAATTTGGTTTGGGTCTGATACATGCGCATATTGATACTGATACAATACGTTTTAATATTAAAAGTGTCTGATGTACTTTCATTTAGGGAAGAGCAGTGTGCCGTGATGTATGAGGCAAACAACAAGTCTGCCAAAGTAATAGCTAATGATGACCAATTACAGTTTGAAAATGTAAGATGAGATAAAATTATCTTTTAGTCGTCTCACAGTGGGGAAATTTGCAAAGTACAAAGCAATACAAAGCAATATATAAGTATTTAGAATAAGTAAACTGTACAAAAACAAAGAGCAACATAATGAGCAAATAGTGTAAAACACAAAGCAATGCAATAAGGAAGCATCAGAAAGAAGCAGAATGTAATAAAGAGACAGACTGAATGGCTGATTTCACATTATTGACTGATGAAATTAAAAATATCGCACAGTTTAACAGTACTGATATTGCACCTGAGTGATGACTGTGAGTGGTAAAAAATAAAAGCAAGATATAATAAAGAGACAGGCTGAGTGGCAGAATTTACGTTATTGCATGTAACATTAATCAGTGCTAAAGATACCTGGATATTCTCCGTCTGAGCCTCTCTGAACAGACTGTAAGTGAACTCTGTTTTTGTGTCAAATGTCTGGATTGCCAGGCATTTCCCTCGTCCTCCCTTCTTGTTGGTTGGAGTTCAGAATGCTCTTTGTCGTGTTTTTTACTCTTTCATTAAGCTATCACTTCTATTATGTGTCGGATTAAGCTAGTCAGCACAAAAGCAGTGGAGAAGCAAACAGTACATCCACTAGGTACGTTCACGACAACATTGTTTGCACAGTTTTACTTTTAAAATACAAATAGGTACGATGAAGAAGACAGAAACAAATTTCTTTTTTTGTATTGATCCTATTGATGCTAAGATCGATGTTCAAAAAGTAAATGTAGTATCTATAGTACTGATATTTTGGTACTGATCTGCCCTCCCCTTTTAGTTACAATTTAGTCAGGAACACTTTAGTCAAAGAAAGCTTTATTTTCATTTGCAGTATTATATTTGGCGGTATGGCTCTGTTCTGGGGCCTCTCGGTTTTTTCTTGGGCCTACGCAGAAAACCTCTTCCACACGCCTATGTGTAAAGCCTAAGGCAGAGAGAGCACACCTCTCTGGGGTGGAGGTGGGCAGTTTGCAGAGGAAGCAGCAACAGTAGGCAGGCCAGAGCAGTTTAAATAGGGCGCCCTGAATGAGATTTCCCTACTGGTTGCATAGAAAGGAATCATGTGATCTATCAGCTGACTCCCTTAAATCAATCAGCTGCTCCATCAGTTGATTGGGCTGTTTGAGATCAGCTGATGTAGCTGGGATGTGAGCTGAGATTGACATTGTGTCCTGCCTGAACTAATGCTATGCCCAATTTCTATGTGTTAAAACAATTTAGTAAGTAAAAATGCACTTTATTTGGTGCAGGCTCCACACTGCGTAATCCAGTTTATCAGACAATCATTTTCAATCCAATACAATTGGTAAACTACCAATATATTCAAGTGGGTGAACAAAACACTCGCACTGCTTCCCTGCTGCGCCCTTGCCATCTTTAAAGCCCAAACACTCAGATGGAAGCAGTGTATATAGTCATGAGGTCTTTCTCCCAATCCCAAATTTTGTGTGGGGTCACCTTGGATTATCAGTTAAGTTTCAAACCTCATCAACACAAGAAACTAACTCCTGCCTCAAGCGTGACTTTACATCTACCTCTATACCGCCCAAAATGTGAAACGCATGCACAAGCCTAGCAGTGTAACGTATATAGTTTCTTGGCCAATCTTCGTGCTTATGAAATGTTGCCTCTGGCCAAATTCCAGCTGCTATTATTTCTGCTGAAAATGAGTGATGGTGCTATTTTCCACTGGCTGGGGCTTCAGTTATGCAAGCTGCAGATGTTTGGCAGTTCACTGCTCTTTTTATTCAACAATGCCCTCAGAGGTCTGGTTACATGAGCTCTGTGCAAAACAACAGCATCAATTTATAAAAGTCGTCCACAATAGATTTGAGTCAGATGAAATACAGACCCGTGTAAGGGAGTAGTTACTGTATTTCTCGTAACTTGCCTGCACTGTGAATGATGTCCACTTTAACTGTGCAAACCTGGAACAGTGGACTAAAACAAATCAGAAAAGTGGCCCAAACCCTTGGGTAAACAGCTTGTTTTTTAAAAGACAGGAAATAAAGAGGTTTTTGTACACATGAGATTACATCATTATGGGAGCCATTAGCTTTAGTTTGCTGAGCCCCGTTGGACTCGTCCATTTGTATCATTTTTAGCTGACATTATCCCATCATCAGACTAGTGTTTAAAATGCCAGAATTTGTACTTAGAGAAGTTGTGATTATCTCTGTTTCACATTGATTATTTTCTTTTCAAAGTGGACTTAAGCACTCTGACCACCAGTTATACAAACACAGTCACGAGATAAAAGAGTCACTTGACAGCATAATCAAGTCAACAGCTGATGCAATCATGTGGATGCTGCCGGGAAGCCTGCTCACCTACCTACCTACACCAAACATTTTTTAAATAATAAACAGAAATAACCAAAACATGCTTTTACTACAATCCAGTTTTTCCACACAAAAACAGAGGGCTCAGTCCATGCGTGCAAAAACATTTCACTAAGATTTATGACGTTAAATTGTAGCTATCTGTGTGTAACTTTGGAGTGTGACAAATGTGTGACATGCATTGCACAGCTTTTTCCAGATGGCCCTCTTGGCTTTGCTAGCAGTTTCTTCCATAAGACCAAAAAAAAGCCTCCGCAGAGTTCTGACAGGAAAACACATTTTTGTGGGGAGGTACAGAGGAGTGGTGGGCCAAATGTGCAGAACTCACAAATCAATAGGACTCGGGGCTGCAGTTATGTAAATGTTTGTCCAATGGAAGGCAAGCTAGCTGTGGGGAGTGCCGGGGAGGTCCACATCTCCAGAAGTTATTATGCAACACCAGCCAACTGTATATAAGGCCCCGACTATGACAGAACACCAGAGGATCTCTGTGAGCTCTCCACTTTGTTTTAAACAGGTATGCACTGACACTGGACTTGCTTTTAAGCTTTTACATTTTGACCTAGGAATTTAAGGTGCATGGTTGTGCTTTTGCAAAATATCTTCTGTTCCTTTGACATTTTTCAAATTATCTTGATGCCTTTATTCAAAGTTTTGCATTTTATAAAAGTGGCATGTTGTAGCACAGAGGCAAATATTTTACTTGAGGACTTGAAAGAACTAGCAATGTGTCTGACAAATGCATCTGTCCTCTCTGTCACCTCTCCTCCTCCTCCTCCTCTCCACCTACCCCTCCCAACTTCTTCTTTCTTTGATTCTGTCTTTTTTCCTTCCACTGAGATAGAATGCTGCGGTACGTTGTAGCCCTCTGTCTCCTGGCTTTGGCCTGGGCGCAGGACTGCCAGGTGGCCAACTTCCAGGTCGTGCAAAACTTTGACAAGACAAGGGTGAGTTGGAAGTGTGAAGAGATTTCTTTAGTTGTATGCATAGATCTAGATTTCAGGGGGAACACAGGGGACATGCTAAACTGTTAAATCATAATTAATGCTGAAAAAAATCACCAGAATACAGGAAATTATGTGTTTAATGCTCAAAATGTTCAGGTGGAGGACCCCTAAACCCTCCATTTCATGTGTCCCCCCCAAAGTTAAAACGAAACCTAAGCCCTTTGTTCAATGATCATATTTATATTTACAATGTAGTATTTTTTCATAGTTGTTTTGGTCAGGATTCTGTTTAAAGGACTTTGTGTAATCAAAATATTTTGTTCTTTGAGGAGCGAAGTGGACTTACACTTTGATTTCTTTCTCTCAGTATGCAGGGACATGGTACGCCGTAGCAAAGAAGGACCCAGAGGGTTTGTTCTTAATCGACAATGTCGTGGCCCAGTTTGTTGTCGACGAGGACAGCAAAATGACCGCCACCGCTAAAGGCAGAGTCATCATCCTTAAGTGAGTTCTGCTCTTTACTGTGAAGGCTCACCTTTCCCCCACTTGAGCATCAAATTTGCGCAACTTCCTACTTGTTCTATGCTTTAATCAGCATGCTTTTAACTAATTTGCTTTTAAATCAAATTTGTTAGTTTATTGTTTTTATTCCGCATGCTTTTGTTTGTCCTGTTGTATTTATTGTGTGCTTTTGCTTTTATTGGTTTGTTTGTTTTTTTTCCATGTGCTTTTGGTTTGCTTTTATTCCTGTGCTTTTATCCGTGTAATCTGTAAAGCACTTTGGGTCGCCTTTGGGTATGAAATGTGCTTTAAAGTAAATGTGAGTTTGCCTTGCCCTCTCCCTTTTTTATCTCCTCCATCTCGTCTCACATCTTCCGTGATGTCCTTCTCTCTTTTTTGACCTCTAGCAATTGGGAACTGTGCGCTGACATGGTGGCCACCTTTGAGGAAACTGCCGACCCTGCCAAGTTCAGGATGAAGTACTGGGGAGTTTCATCCTACCTGCAGTCTGGAAGTAAGTTGTTGAACATTTACACCTGAACACTGACTTAAAGGAACTTAAATTGGGGTTGACAACAAAATCAAGGCAACTAATGAATGATCTGGCACTTTATTAGCATTTGCCTTTGGCAGTTTTCTGTTGGGAATCACTAATAATACACTGCAAAAGCACATGTTGACCTTAAGACAACTGTTGATTTCATTTAATCATCAACCGCAGCACTTAGTTCTCTGTGACCCTGACCCTGGAGAATGAATCAAACTTACTAGGAAGAGGTCCAAATGTCACTGTGTGTAACTTTGACATCACATTAAGGCAAAGTATAGTCATTTATTAATTAACTGCACTTCCATAAAATCTGAGGCTGAGTCAGTTTTATACACGCAGTCTCTAATGTATCACTATGATCCCAGTGCTGACCCAAAATGCTGTTTTTCTTTATCAACTGTAGCATTACCCATAATACCCATCTATGTAATTACATCAGCTGTTGACTTGATTATGCCATCAAGGGACTCTTTTATCTCCCAGTGACTGTGTTTGTATAAATGGTGGTGCTCAAGTCCACTTAAAAGAGAAAATGAGGCTGAGGCTTTCTTGGTCTTATGAAAGCAACTGCAAGCAAAGCCAAGAGGACCATCTGGAACAAGCTGTGCAATGCATTTCACACATTTGTCACACTCCAAAGTATACACACAGATAGATTTATGACGCTGAAGTGTGTGCCTAAGTGAAATGTTTTTGCGTGCATGGACTGAACCCAATTAAGTTGTGTGGAAAAAACTGGATCTCACTAAAAGCATGTTGCAGCCCTTTCTCCTATCTTATTTACCAATAAATTGTCCCAGTAGGTGCATGTGCTTCCCGGCAACATCTATATGATTGCATCACCTGTTGAGTTGAATACACTGTCAAGGAACTCTTTGATCTCCCAGTAACTGTGTTTGTATAAATGGTGGGCAGAGAGCTGAAGTCCAATTCAGAAAAAAAAAATCAATGTGAAAGAGAGATAATCACAACTTCTCCAAGTACAAAGTCTGGAATTTTAAACACCAGTCAGTGATGATGGGATAGTGTATGAGTTAGCTAAATATGCTCGTGTACTACTGTATGCATGTCTACATAGGTCAATATAAGAGTTAATTGTTAAAATATATTATAGTATAACAAAACTAGGTTTCAAGATTTGTAAAGGTGTAAACCAAAAAAATAAAAAATTAGAAAATTAGTTATCCCTAACATTTGTTGTGTTATGGTTTGAGAGTGATGAAAACAGATGGGGACTAAGCATAGACTTTAATAATAGTTAGATACCAAAACCCTAGATGGTGCCTATTCATTCCAGTGGAGTTGCTCACGTGGCGCATTCGCCAAAAAAGTTTTCTAGCTTCCAGGTTAAAGTTAGCTAACATTAGCCAGCTGAAACCAAAATATCATAATATATTTCACGTTAGTGTTTCCTCCAACGTCATGATTTCTCTTAAGCACAAGGGGGGCACTGGAATTATGATAAAGAGCACTGAATTTGATGGATTTACTGTTTAACAGACAACAAAAAAGGCAAGAATTAGCTCGCCACAGAGATATTGGATGAAGCGAGATACCCAACTGTAGGCTTATCCAATGTTAAGAAAACGGTTACTCTTCCTGTCTCCTAAGTGGGCGTGGTTAGCTCTCCCTCCAATCAGAGCCTGTTCTCCCTCAACCCCCCCCTCCCCACCACCGTGTTGAACAGAGGCTCTGTGGATGTCTGTGTATGCGGATCAAGAAGCAGGTGGAATGAAAATACATTCTTCCTATTATTGCAGCCTATTGTTGCACAAAGCTTGGGCATTTTTTATTTATTACCAGCGGTAAATAACTGTAAGCTAACTTTGATTTTACCGCCTGTTTATCAAGATCACGAGATCTCGCGAGAACTTGTTTTCTGAGACGGACAGGGCTCAAACAAAGTTAACTTTCTCTTGATCTGTGCGGATGAAAAATGCAGCTTTAGTGTCAGAATATTGGGAAGATGTGTGGCTTGTGGAAAATGAACCCAATATTTACTTTAGTGACTACAGGGCGAAAGAATTGACCATAAATTGTGATCACGTTCATTTTCCTCATTGACGACAATACATTCAGAGCTGCCGCAAGTCTCCTTCGGGGGCGTGGTGCTAACGTCACTGAATCAGGAAGTGAGCTGAGTTGGGTATCTCGCTTCATCCAATATCTCTGCTCGCCAGCACAGCCTGTAGTCCGTGTTAGCAAGTAAGCTAACATTAGCTAACATTAGCCAGCTAAAACCACAATATCACAATATGTTTCACATGCTAGTGTTTCCTCCAACGTCAGGATTTCTCTTCAGCACCGGGGAGCACTGAAATTGATGGATTTACTGTTTATCGGAGAACAACATGGGTATTTTGCTTCCTGAGCTGAAGGGGAATTTTCTTTACTACAATACCGTGAGTGGCCACCGGGGAAAATTTGCTGCAAGGCTGAGCGGCTTTCCTGGAGGTCTGATTTACAGCTGAGGTTAACTTTCGCTAGCACAAAACTGGCTTTAAACCATTAAAACAAAATGTACTTACCAAAAAACCTGAACATTTGACTCCTTAGTGGGTCTTTTATTTCAACTAAACTCTGAGTAAGACTTAATTAAGTGACCAAAATGCTACAATTAACTTTAATGAACTAAAAACACACTTGTATAGCGACAACTAAGGCCAGCCTGGATGTTTACAACGTCGGGATCCACCCTCGCATTTAACTAAAATTGTAGCATTTATCTTGGGAACAAAAAGCCTCCATTTACAAAACATCAAGGCACCCCTGGGACACGAAGTACTTGTGAGATGGACAGTAAATGTCCACTGTAATCTGTAGCATACTTTTTGGCCTCACACTTACGTTGCAAGTTTGAAAGAAATAGTTCATAAATTGTAAAAGGATTGTTTGGTAAAAATCTTTCCTTTCTTTCCTCCCCTCCCTGCTCTCAGATGATGACCACTGGGTGATCGACACTGACTATGATAACTACGCCGTCCACTACTCCTGCAGACTAGTAGACTCTGACGGCACTTGCCTGGACAGCTACTCCTTCATATTCTCTCGTCACGTGACGGGTCTGAGGCCTGAGGACCAGGTCAAAGTCACCCAGAAAAAGATGGACATCTGCCTGCTGGGCAAATACAGACGTGTTGCACACACTGGTGAGTTCATCTTAGAACGAAGACATTAAGACAACTAAGAAAATAAAATACTGTATAATGTTCTTTTTTAGAGATAATCTGTGTTTTTGTGATCATGTAGTTAGCTAAATGTTTGTCTTCTCTCCACTACAGGCTTCTGCCAAAGCAGCTGATCTGATGACAGTCAGAGAACTTCTTTCTGAAGCACCAACCTCGGATTGTGCGCCCCTCCCCCCCTGCTTGTCTTGGACTAACTCCCACCAGAGTTTTCCCTCCTGTCTCTGTCTTAGCAGAGAAAGCAGCTCATACCTCTTTTAAAATAAATTAAAAGTGGCAAACTATAAACTCACATTCACATGCTGTAAGTAGAAAGAAAAGACGACTGTTGGGGCTGGTTTGTTGACACATTCCCAAAATATCCCCAGAAGTAAAGGAGATTCTGGTTTTTTAACATTTTAGTCCTCATCCTCAACATCTGTCATGTTTTTTTGTGGTACAGGAGCTTCAGAACATATCAGCCTCTCTCATGGAAACCAGTGGAACTTGCTCGCTGGTTCCAGTGAGAAAACTACACATACCAGCTCAGTCAATTTTTTTTGGAGCTTTTCAGGACAATGTGTCAAAAAATCAGTTGTGCAAATCTTGTTAAAGTGAAGCTGAACTCGCATCACTGCAACTCTGGACTGTTAACACCATGTTTACCACACAACCAAGTTCACAAGTCACTGACTTTGCTTTTACACTGAAGGACTGACAGTATCTTGTAGCACATAAGTAGATATTGTTTATAAACCTTAACACAAACATATTAGGTCATGTGCCATATAGGAACACTAGTTTGGTTGTTATTTGATTGTATGATGTATACTTCTTGATCCAGTTTTGAAATAAAACATTCATACCGTGTTGGCTATTTCAATTTTTGATTGCCTTGAAATATTCATCTGTATAATGGGATTGCACATAATGAATTCATGTTGTTGGCCTTTAGATTCAGTCAATCAAAATACTTCAAAATCCAACTTTATCCAGAATTTTGTAGGTTATTTTTTGTATCTTCCATCATAGCACAGCTTCATCAAACAAAAAGCAATGATATGACATGAATTTCTAGCCACAGCTTCCTATACTGTAGCTGTGCACCCACTATAACACAACTTTGTCCAACTAATATCTAGTGCAGGATTGTCAAACATACGGCCTGTGAGCCAGAACCGACCCATCAAAAGGCCCAAACCCCAAAACACTTGTAAAGGCTGAGGGCCAATTTGTAGTTTTCAGATCTGTGTGTTCGCTGGGGTGCAGTTAAGTCTGTGTGATGTAAATGTCGCCATCAATCCATGCCCACGAGGGTCCGCCTGAACCCCTTGGTGTATGTCCATACGCAGCCCATTTTTTGTGACCATGCGGACTGTAGGCGTAGCAAGCCCTGACTTTTCGTGCTAAACAAAGGGCAAGCCAAAATCTCTCATCATGTGTAATCATTCTTATCACGATTTAAGACAATAAAATTAAGACAAAATAAGACAGGTAGGTTTCGGGATACTGTCTACTGACCGGTGGTAGGTTGTCTTGGCTGGTGCTTTGTTGTAATTTGCTTAGTACAATAAAGTGATCCATTGTCCCACTCACAGCTTTCTCCTTTTAATTGTTATCATCCCTCACACTGGCTGCCAATCAGGGCTTTTGATGTGTCACACACTTGGAATTTGAAAAGGTTCCCCGCTAAGGTTTTTAAATGAAATGAAATTCAATTCAATTTCATTTTGTAGCTAGAGGTTAGGTTGCCTCTTTATTAGAAAATGGGTGCACACAACATACTGCTACAGTCAAGGAAAAACTCAGTTGTAACTTTTTGTATAGGCCCAGTTGAATATTGCAATAATAATGAGTGGTTATCCCAATATCCCACGGCACACCTGGATTGGCATTAGGACACACCATTTGAGAACCACTGCTCTAATCTCGTTCCAAATTCTGGTCCAGTGCAAAACACTGTAGCCAAGCCAGCTGCAGCCACAGGTGAAGTTAGTTTTCAGTTGGATATTTGACAGACATTCACTCCAAACCAAGCAGCACCTTCTTAGTTTCACTTTCACCTGATGTCAGCAGTACGAGGATGGTAAGCTCACCTCCAAGCCCTCCTGTTTACCGATGGTGGTTGATGCAGACCCTCAGTTGTATCATGAATACAACTGTGTGTGCGTCCGTGTGGCTGTGGTTGACATTTGTGGCTTTGAGTGAAATGTTTCGACAATAATTTGGTACAGATGTTCACGTCTACCTCAGGATGATCTGTACTCAACTGATTACTTAACTTTTCATGTAGTACCTCATGTCAAAATCTAAACTTGTCCAAAACATGACTTAATCCCTGCAACACTAACGACATTCCCATCGGTCTCAGCTGCACTTTGTATTAAAGCCTAATTAGGCCATATCAGCATTCTAACTCAGGCGATGAACATATATACCACAAACAACAGCATGTTAGCACGCTGACACAGGCATTTAGCTCCAAGCACCACTTTGCTTATCAGCCTCACAGAGCCGACAGCATGGCTGTAGGCTGTTTCTTTCATAGCTGATCTTCTAGCATCACATGGTCTAATGGGTCACAAGGGATAATAAAGATTGACAAAATGTTTTCTACATGAATACCCCTCTTATTATCCTCGGGGTCAATGTGACCCCATTCAGTGTTAAACGACTCCAAAGAAGTGCTTGAAATCTTTTTTCTTTTGAGTCATATTTAATGACTTTTTCCTGAGTTAATGGGGACAACTGAGTAAACATTAAATTAAAATGATGATATATTTTCAGTGTCCTGTGTTTTGGGAGGTCAATTTGACCTCAGGCTGTTTAGCTGCATAAAATACAAGACATAAACATTCTACACATATTTGTTTAGGTTGTTTTAGCTGATCCTGAAGTTGCTATCACATGCTATTTTATAATCTTTCGGGGCTTCATCTCTGCTATAGCCATATCTCTAGTAATGTGAGAATCCCTAATATTTCCCACACCATGGGGGAGGGGAAATATGGTTCATTCGCATTACACAGGGGGAGGAACAAACTTATAATGGCTTGTACTGCAGTCTTTTTGACTATTCACTTGGTGCTGTCTTCATGCTCTCTCAACTTACCTCTAGGCAGATGTTTTATGCTGTTGAGGTTTTGTCACAGCTCTGACAGTGACAGTGACAGTGACGCACAGGAGAATGTGTCTGAGACTGAGCAGAATGTTAAGGAGGACCCTGATTATAAGGTATCCTCCTCTGATGAGAATGAGACCCATTGGGTCATTTTTGTCTCTCAACCACCAGCAGATTCTGTTCTCTCTCAGCCTCCAAGAGTGGACTGTGTACACCTTCCAGAAATGGAAAGGTATCTCGGTCTCTCTCCCCACTTGAATTGATAGCTAGAAAGACCTGGATCTGACCCACTTGCTTGGTTTGACAGGAGTGTCCAAGTCAAGAGTTGAAGCAACAGCAAGCCTTCGAAAGGCTAACACTGAAATTTGCAGACACCATGTCTCTGAAGACATTTCATGTTTTCTCCTGTGTCATATGCTTCTTGACAAACTTGCAGCAATATGCAGTGTATGGGACAAGAAGGTCCAGCGATGACCTTTTCGTTACAGTCTAGCTCCACATATGACTGTGGATGAATCTCTGGTTGGAATTCATGTGTGAAAAGTCGAGCTATGGCTGCAATATGCCAGCCTGTTCTCATTACCAGGACGTCAGATACAGCAGCTTGGTCAGCTGCTTTCGATATCTGATTCCACAGAGGGCACCCTTAAGCATCTGTATGAGATGCACTGGGCTTTCAACTAACTCCAATATAAACTCCTCCACAGCAGTGACATGGAATATAGAGCGAAAACATCAGAGTAGTGGTGGATGGTTCAAACAAACACACAACTTCATCCAGGAAACAGGTGTTTGTGTCCAGGTGATATACTCATTAACTCACTTGCTAAATAAAGTTATGTAACTTACCTTATTTAAACCCAAACCATGAGGTTTTTTCTGAACTAACCAAGTAGTGTTGTTTCCTGAACCTTAAGTAGTTTTGATGACGAAACCTATGTTTCCTGTGAACACAAGGTTATTTTGAAAATACACTATGCATGTAACAAGTGAAAATTAAAACAGCATCCCTGAGTGTCCAAAACTGATGCTAGAGGGGTACCTAGAGCGTCATAGTTTGAAGCATGGGGCCACTGACCAGGCTGCCCTATTTGTCTAGTTGGAAGTGAGAACGTGTCGCATATGCAGGTATACAGTGGGAACCCCCCCATGGGGAAGCACCTGAAGAGCGTCAGGACATGAGATCGGTACTAGACAGGTCAAATTGTTCACAGAATTATGATTACATGCGGTCACTTTTTGCATTGTACCCCTTGGATGAAGAACTACTGACAATGAAGCTTACAGTGAGAAAAACAAAGGGAGAGCTTCTGTATGAAGCTTAAAACGCCAAAAAGATTAAATTTTAGGTCAGTCAGCGATTTTAATGATTTGTAAATTTTTTCATAGTCTCGTAAGAGGTATTTCGAATTTATAAGGGGAGGTTTATGTACAGGGGTATTTAGAGACACACAGTGCCTGACACACAAAGTAAAGTAATAACTTTACATCATTTTCTGTAGGGTTTAAATTGCTCGGTTCAAATTGACCCTGAAAAAAAAGGATGTTAGTGAATTGGAGGAGGATGGATATGTTGTTACTCTGCAGATTAAGCTGAAAATTCATTATATAGTGAAACATCACAGAGTGTTACATCAGCTCAGTGGGAAATGGAATACACTTATGGGGCCTAAGCCTTTCACTATCAAAGTACACTCAAGAGCAAAACACAAAGCCAAGACACACCAAGCTCATCAACCTTTATCTCAGCCTTCACTTTTCCACTGTGGATGATCTATAACACAAGTGCCATGAAAACTACATCTTGTAAAACTGTACATGTTGAATTGGTTTAAAAACAGGCAACACAAGCCAAGACTGAGTAACAAGAAGCTCTAGTGAAAGTTCAGTCGGGAAGACTATATTTTTGCATAGGCCTGTAATTTATTTCTCTTATCATCTGTCATTCGGTCCTCGCGCACATGCTCACTCGCAGTTGACCTTTCGCTAAGCTCCGCCCCTTTGTGATGGTCCGACAAGCTGTCAGAGTAAACATGGAGCCCACACTAACTAACTGCACTCCCTGAAGAAATATGATAATATTTTTGGAAAAATGAAACAGTGATTCCAGAGAGAAGCAGACAGAGGGGTCTACAGTTTGTGTTTGAAGGATATATCCAGGATGTCAAACTGACTCAGCAGCAACAACAGGTTAAAAAGACAAAGATAATTAGAAGCTAAAGCTGAACTATAGGCTACAGATCACAGTGTAAAAGTGAACCACCACATCACTGCTGATCGCCACAGAAGACAATGAATAGAAAGGGAAACTTTGCAGATATTAAACCAGCTGTGTGGCATCACAGTGCATTAAAATGTGTCAATGTCACGCTGACTTTCCAACAGTTTAACAATTTCTATTTTAAATTTTATGTCAACCTATTCAGTATCAAAAAGGGTACTGCATTCAATTGAGAAAAAAAAATCAGCCGTTTTTCTGATTTAACAAGATTATCTCAGGATTATACATCTGCTAGTTTATGAGATTATCCTGCAAATTCAGTAAAGCAAGAGCAGAATTTCTTTCCCTATGAAGACTTCTTGTAATTCTGAGATACTCAATCTCGATTCAGAAAAAAACGGGCAAATATTTCAGGAAGTGAATGCTTCACACTACATAATTCAGTACATTATAGGCCCCATAAAACACTGATATGACAAAGATTACAGAAAGGACTGTTGCGTTCAAAGGAGATACATATTTTTATTG